GTGCTACAAGTCTTAACAAATGAGCATCTTGACGCTAATCACTCCTGGATGCTGCACACGTGGTCTTCTATAAGCTAGGTCCATCTGTTTTACATATGAGGAAACTGAGGCTTGGAAGTTAGGTACCTTGATAAAGGCCTCCTAGCAAGTGGAGGAGCCAGGATGGAAATAGGATCTTTCTGATGTTCCAGCCCATGTAGCCCTTGCTGTTTGTGCTGTGTCCTGCCACCTCTATGTTGATGGAGCAGAAAATGTGCCACAACTTCCTTCTGAGATGAGGAAAAACTGCGGGGCATGTGCTCCCCAGAGAAATGGGTCAACTGGAACACGTGTCCTTTCATTAGGCTGTCACTTTTCATTGCATTGGTAGTGTTTATACAATCCTATAAATTGTATCTTGGAAGTGATGGAATAACTGTCTTAAGAATGTAAATTGGAAAAGCATAATAGTGAAATGCAAAGAAACAAAAAGCTGTTTCTTGGCCTTCTCAAACCAAATGAAGGAATAAAAGTGGCAGCATCAAAGACTGCTTCATTTCCAGGTCCTTTGGCTTCCCCTTTGCCTCAGCAGTGCTGGGCTTGTGTATAGTTCAGAACCTGGGTGTTTCAGATTCAAGCCTTGAAAAATCCCAGGTAGAGGGAGGAAGGAAGCAGAAAGTGGTATGTTCCTCTTAAGATTTATTTCTTCTTAGTGTGATGTTTGCTCTTAGTCATTAGTAACTATGACTCTTTTTGGAAAGCAAAGTTTAGTTAGGATAGATAGCTGTATTTGTTGTTGAAAACAAAGCAATGAATTTGTTAGACTAAAGAATTTCATGTCAATTACTAGGATCTTTGAATTTGAAAGTTTCTCTAGTCTAACATCTTGATCACCACAGGTATGACTTCTACATTGGGGATCCTCAAACTGAGAGTCATGACCCATTAGCAAGTCATGAAATTACTATAGTGGGCGATGACCAGCATTTTTAAAAAGTGAAATAGAAAAGATTACAGTACTATCAAGATATAAGGATGAATAGTTTTGCTGTAAGGTTTTGATTGATTGTGTACACACCTGTAGTGGGGTGCTGTAAAAACAAAAGGGCTTGTAAATCAGTTACCTCAACTTCAGCTTCAGCAGCTCCTAGATACAGAACTCCCTGCCTTCAGGGGCAGCCTTTATCTTGACAGACTGTTCTAGTAAAGTGTTCTTATGATAAATGTCTCTTTTGCTTTCGTGGTTTGTGCAGTGAGCACTGGGGAGGGAACTAAGGACCTTATGCATGCTAGGCAAGTGCTCTACCACTAAGCTACATCCATAGCCCTCATGGTATTTTTTTAAATATGCATAGAATGAAAATAATATTAAGATATTTGATAGTCATGGGGATTAATACTGATATTTAAAGTGAACTCATTTGTCTTATTGCTGTGGCCTGAATACCAGAATTCTCTTCCTTACCTGAGATTATATGTAGGTACCTTTACAGTCTTGATTGCTCTTCTTAGATGTTCCATTATGAGCATTTAATTCAAGAAAATAAAAGTAGTGAAGGAAAAATTTCTTGAATAAACTGGCTGGAAAACCATACTTCCAGAGAAGGTGATTTTTCAGTAACGCCTGGAGACAGGCAATTTGGGTAATGGAGGCCTTCTTCATCCTATGAGACTAGGTAGGATCTCTTCCACAGCATCCTGTCTTTGTGCCTGTCATGGGCTCTGGCCCTACGGAGAGGTGTCAGGCTTCCACATCACTAGCATGTACATATGTTGTGTTTTAATTGCCTTTTTTCCAACTGCCTCTATGGCTAGACAATAAAATCCTCAAGGACAAAGAATGTGTCTTACTTATAATTTCAGTGCTTGGCACTGAAATTCTAGGCACCCAGGAAATATATTTTAGTGTTTTGAACTATATAAAATAATGTTTACTGTTTTTAGTGACTTGGGTGAAGGTTGAATATTACATTCATGAAAGATAAGGTATGTGAGTGTTGTAAAGTGATCGTGACTTTGGAAATCAATAGTAATATACTAAATGATACAAAAGGAACATGGTATAAACTACATGGTGAGAAGGAATGACTACTCTGAAATCTTTCCATAAGGCAATAAACTTCAGAGACAAATCAGAACCATTGTAGCACAATGAGTCCATAGTGTTATGTGTGCATAGTGATTTCCACTTCTGCATGTTCTTACTGGGCTCTTGAGATAGTCCAAGGGGATGGGAAGATAATGACATTGCCATTTTGCAGAACAGAAAACTGAGACTTGGTGTGTTTATTGACTTGCTCCAGAGATTATACTATGACAGGGTCAGACACTAGAGCTGGGGTCACACCTGATCCTGGGCCATTTTAGCTACAAACCTACCTTTCAAGTTGGATAGCAAATTGTTATGATAATGGTGGTGACAACCTTGGGTTTATGTCATATTTTGTTGTGTGTTAGTCTTTACAGCAACCCTTTGAGTGAGTTAGTGCATGGATGACAGAACTAAAATGCTGTTGCTTTAGAATGCTGGTATCTTGGAATTGGAAAGGAACTTTGAACACCTTGAGTGCCAAGTGCTCTCATTAGACCTCTTGGTCCCTGCTGGTGGCCACCATGATTGATGTGATTAATGTGTTTGTGGTGGGAGCCTGCCATCTCTTAGAGAAGCCCATTCCATTTAAAGTAGATAAGGTTGCTAAAGAAGCAAGTGGTATGGCAGAGATTAGAAATAACACACTGTTCAGAAATCAGTGAAGGGAGAAGTTAATGCTTGCTTAGTGTGGGTGCAGAAAAGAGGCAGAAGCCTGGGCTCTGAGTTGGGATGGAGAAGGTGAAATGTGTAAGCTTTCATGAATTTGGGTGATGGTGAGGCCATTCAGGTTGTTGGTGGGGCTCCTGGGTCAGCCCTTCACCTCTGATGTTTTTGCCCAGATTGATCCATGAGTGGAACCCTGTGCACTCTACACCTGCTCCCCATAGGCAGCTGGACTCTGAGAGGGGAAACCAGATAGGGTCGCCAGTAGTCAGAACACTTTACCTCAGCCCTCTAAGGCTTTTACAAGGTTCATCTTTTCTGAAATGTGTTTGTGGCTTTTGTGGGTTATCATGCCATTTAAGGTTTTCTAAATATAATTGCAAACACATAGGCACATTGGACCAACTTACCTAACCCCAGTAGGATGATGTGTGTTGTGAAGGTGATTTCTTTACCACTCTGACAGACTGCAGTACAGCCAGCTATGGCTCAGGCACAGGCCAGTGGGTCTGGGGACTCTGGTCTAGGCCACCAGGATTCTATTTCTGTGCAGTTTCTTTACTCCCAGGTCATTATACCCACAGTCTATTTGAGTGCCAAGTAGCCGTCTCAGATATGGACACATGCAGCTTATGTAGTGAACTCCTAATTATTCTTCAGAACCTTTCTCCCATTTGTGTATTGACCCTGCAAGTTTTCATTGAGAGCATACCATCTGCTAGATGCTGGGGATGTGGCACTGAACGCAGCAAGACCCTGTCCTCATAGCCTAAGCCTGCATTCCCACATCCCTGAGTTGGTAATGTGATCTCTTTCCTCTGGAGTCCCTAGCCCAGTGACTTGCTTAGGTGAATGGGAACAATGCTTGCTTCTCTGATCCTTCCTTTTCTTTCTGAGTGAATGAGCCAAGTCACGATTCTCTGAAAGTCATCCACTAGGAGTGTCAGGAAGGTAGAGTTGCTGTGGAGATTTCTCTGAGTACAGTAACTGTCAGAACTTGTCAGCCTTCCATAACATCAGGGATATGATGGAATGTCATAGGCCTTCAAGGTGTCATCCTCCCCTGACCACAGGGATTGTCTTGGTTCTGTTTTCTAGTGGGTGACAGAGAATGAGGACATGCAGGGTCAGAAGGACTGTGTGTAACCCAGGGAGAATTCTTCCTGACGGGAAGTGCAGTAGGTCTTCCCTACACCTACAGCCAGCAGGTGTTTCCTGGCCATTGTTCCTGGTGATCACAGCAACTCTGTTTCCATCCACCACAGAATGGGGCTGGGTGGGCTCTTTATGTGCTTCTTGCCCAGGCCAGGGATATGGCCAGCCTTTCTGGAGGTCAAGGTGGGGGCAGTTCTGCCTCTTACACATGGATGGGAAGCTGCGCTGTGGCCCTCCTGTCTTGCACCTCCTAAACTCCTGTCTTGGATCCTTTTTCTTTCTTGGTCCTCTTGCCCTTGGGAATTTACATTGGGGCAAGCTGTAATGAAGGTCCAGGGCGATATTTGAGTGTGGACACTCTTGGCTGAGAGATGCAGAACTTCTCCCTAAAAGTCATCCAGGAGAAATTCCATTCTTTCAAGCTTCAGGTGCTACTGGGCCAGGTGATACATGCCAGAATCCCAGCACTGCAGAGGCAGAGAGAGGCAAGAGGATGGCTCCAGGGCTTTGTACAGAGACTGTCTCAAAACACCTAATAATAACAACAATAATTGCAATAGTAATATACTAAAAGGAACTCTTAGATCACATCACAGGTCGGATGTGTTTTATTGATTGCACGTTGGTTGTTTTCTCATTTTGAGCCCAAAGACTTCCTATCTATTTCTGGTTGCTGGTTTACCACCTTGGTGCTGTCCCTGCAGTGGCTTCTCCAATTGCTTCTGCTGAGGTGTATTGTGGCTCTGTGTTGATTAAAGAGCTTGTTCTGTCCCTTCAGAGCATAAGGTCTATACAGAAGGAAGCAGGGATGTATAGTAAGATTAAGCTGGACACCAAGAATTGCTCCTTTTAGAAACACAAAGTCGTAATTGCAGCTTGCATGTCTGTTTATTTTGTCCTTACCCATTGGGCCTGCTGGTTTTAGATGAATGGGGAAGAGGACGGTGGGCAGTGGTGATCATTTCATGGCTTATCCACCATTTCTGCCTCTTCTGCAAGAGGCAGTCACCAGGGTACAAGCTGCAGACATGCCACCATGCCATGTGGAGTCAGTGCTGTGTCAGTTCTTCCCTGGATACCTTGTTTCAGGTGGCTTGAACCGTATGGCTGGGCTTTCCACATAGGCACTTTGCTAGGTCTGGTTTGGTTTAGATAAAGGGAACTGAGGTTCTTCAGGGAGGTCTGGCCACAAATGGAGTTCTCTGTTGCTCCCACAGTGATGGGTCCCACCACCACAATGGTTCCAGCTGGGGAGCTTTGATGACGCCAGCACATCATGTACAGCGTGGAAGATCTCCTAATTTCTCATGGATACAAACCCTCACGAGACCTCTCAAGACCACGCAAGGATAATCCCGAGGGGTGCCAGCAAACTGGGACAAGGCCCCAAGCGGGCCATGGTCTGCTGAACGGATATGAGGATGACCCTACAGCCTTTGCTCACAATTGTACATCCCTGGGGAAGGGACTTGTGAGTGACTCAGAGAGCAGCCGCAGCACGCCGAGAGGCCACGGGGAGCGCCAAAGTGCTTCTGCTTCTAAAACTGCTGAGGCGGGGTAAGCTTCCGTGTTGACCCACCATTTCTCTTTGACTTAGGAGTTTGGTCTTGGCTTAGACGTAAGTAAACTCTTTCAACCCTATATTTGGCTTGGACCAGGGAGAGAGAGAGGGCTGAAAGACAAGAACACCTCTGTCCTTTGCCGTATTTAAGGTATTCCTGTAGCACATAGCTGGACTTGGCCATAGTAGGCCTTCACTAAACAGTAGTGAGTAAGCAGATACTATCACACTGAGCACTGCATTGTGATGCTGTGCCTCTCTTCTGCCCTCTAACGTGCCCAGCACTCCCATAGAAGGCATTTTAGAGCTTTGTAAAGCTCTCTTATGTCCAGCCACACATTCATAGTGCTGATGGGTTTTCTACTAACACATTTCAGTATCTTGTAGGTTTCAGAGAGTTAAAAAGGGCTATGTGCCCTGCCCCTTTTGACCATTCATATAATTCCATTCTTCTCTAACCTGCCTTGCCATTGCACACATGCTGACCTAGTGTGGATATAGCACCAAAACACAGCACACCTATGGATGTTTTCTTAGGACAGAAAAAGAGGGCAGGTTGGCCAAGTGGGCAGGGTGGTTATTGAAGAGGGAGTTGCAGCAGCTTGCCACAGGGCCAGCATGGGAGGGGAGCCATGAAACTCCCTTCCAAGAAGTTTCAGTGGAAGGAAACCTCAGTTGTCCGTGCATAAAATGTGTTTTTGTCTCTAATGTTGTGTCGGGACCAGGTAGAGTCTGGAGACTAAGAGTGCCGAGCACGTGATGTAGCAGGGTATAAGAAGCCAGAAAGAGATAACGGAACCTTCACAGGGAAGCAGGGTCTGTCTTTAAGAGGAACAAACAAACAGAAAGGGTGGGGAATTAAGGCTGATGGTCACAGGTCTCCTTCCCAGAGAAATCATCTTCCTTCTTGGTTGACAGCTTTCAAACAAACTTGGGAGGGATTTTGTTAGGATGGTCAGAGCTTTCAAAACCTTGGCTGGGCAGAAGCAAAGGAAGGAGAATCTTTTCTTTCCCAGTGTGGTAAAAGCAGGTTGATGTTACCAAAGCAGAGTTTCCACTGATGGGACCAGGTTCAGGAGGGAAATGCAGAATATGAACGAGTAGAAGATGCTCTTTACTAACCTTGTCTTCAAAACTCACACTTCTGTCTACTATTTCTTGGGCTTAACTCTTATCACCCTGGTTCCCTGGAAAACATGTCCACCATGAATTTTTGGAAGAGGGCTCTTTTGGACAAGTTGACTGAGGGTAAAGACAACCTTAATTGCCACCAGACAAACTTGAGCTTGATTTCTTCTTAACTTCTGCTCTTTCTAGTTTGTGCTGAGTATATCTCTATAGTGTAACTTGGATGACAAGGTCCCAAGGTTGTATCTTGTCTCCTGTTTCTTTTGTATTGCTTATAGAGCTTATTACGATACTGTGCACACAGCAGTTACTTAATATGTGCTAATGGATTGTGATGTATTCTTCTTAGCATTGTGACAACTTTGAGACCATACAACTGCTAGATGTTGTAGTACATACCTAAAGTCCCAGCTTCTTGGGAGGCAGAAGGGTTAAAGTTCGAGGCCAGCCCAGCCAAAAATGCAACAAAACCCTGTCTCAAAAACAAAAGGGTTATAAGTATAGCTCAAGTAGTAGAATGCTTGCCTAGCATGCACAAGACCTTGGATTCAATCCCCACCATTGGGGTGGGGAGGAGAGGGAGAGAGAGAGAACCAGAAGACCCAGTTCCTAATGAGGTAAAGTCAGTGGCCTGGAGTCTCTGCAAATGGGTTGTGTAGGTTATGTGGGGTTGTCCTCAGACTTGAAGGATCAGATCAGAGTGAGGTTTCAGAATGGGAGGCAGTAGAATTCCCTTTAGAATTCCATGTGGGCAATATGGCTCCCAATCTCACCCACAGCTTGCTCAGGACTTTTCTTTCTGTGTGGTAGCAGGTTCCTTAGAAGCATCAACCTCCTGCCTAGCCTGTAGGTGGGTGGGCACAGTCGGATATGCAAACAGTCATTCTTTCTGTCATGAATAAGATGTTCAGATGAGTGACTAAGTGTGGCACTGGGACATTTTCCTGCAAGTGGACTGAGTTCTCAATAGGCCCAGCCGACTCTCTGTGTTTCTGAAGTTTACTGACTAACTCTGGAGATGGATAGCAGCTTTTGGATTGCACGTTCCCTTATAGGGCAGAAAGAAAAAAATCACACATAAATGCAAAAATCCAGGCCAGTGCCCATAGCCTTGAGACTTGCGTCTTACACAGCTGCAAGTCTTCCTAGGTTGACATGAAAGGCATTTTCTTTATTTAGTAGCCAACACAGACTGAAAATAGGAGTCAAAGTTTATGGAAAAGTAGTTATGGAGGGGAAGTATTTCCCTTAATCAAAAGTACTTTGGGAGGAAGTAAATAGGTGTCAAAAGTTAACAGCTTAAACAATGTTTAAAAAAAAATAAAAAGAAAGAAAGACAAACTAGCCACATGATGGCTAATGTGAATTCTGGATCTGGAATGAATGTGCTCTGCCAGCTCCTAGCCTTTGGTCACTTGACAAGCACAGCTGTGGTCTTGCTGCCCGTCCTGTCCTACACAGTGACCTCTGTTGGGCTGGTTTCCAGGTCTAGGGGGCACATGGGGCCCAGGATAGCCCTGTCCAACTCCAAGCCATCTGGGGACTGGGAAGAGTCATAGGCTTCTCTAATGCTGGCTCCCTGGTGGGTTGAGGTCTGACCTGGAGTGGGTCCCTACACCTAGGGCAGGTCCTCAGCATCCCACTAGCACCCTAGCAAAGGTGGAGATTAAGGTGGTTTAGAAGGTTACAGAGAGAGATCTTGTTTTATTCTGGCAGTTTGTGGAGACACAGTTCTATTGTAATAGTGTTTTATAGCTGAAAAATGTAAGTCCCCAAGAATGTTAGTGGCTTATCCAGGGCCATTCAGATTGACATGAAAGGGAACCCAGCTTAGCTACAAACTCTGGGCTGCCTGATGCCAGTGATTGCTACCCGCAATACCAGGCCTGGCCATTCTTCCTGTATGAGGCCAAATTCAGTTTGAAAGGGTCCTCAATTCTATGAGCTCCTCTTCAGCGGCCCTGTGATGGACTCTCTTATCACTTTCTTGTCCTCTACCCTCCCCTGGCAGGCATGGCTGTGTCCTTTCCTGTCTGGGGAGCTGTAGAAGGAATGCATGGTTCCATACCCACATTAGGTAATATATATGGTTTTGCTCATCTGTGGCCCTTGTTAAGGACTGCTTAAAATGCAAGGTAGTGTTGTCCATGACTTAGGGCTTGACTGGAATGTCAGCCACGGGCTTTTTAACTTGATTGCCAAATGTGCTGCTTACCTGTTTCTTCACTTGCTGAGAATGCTATACTCTGAGCTTTGTTGCCGGTTCAAGTGATACTGACATCCAAGATGGAAGAAGAGTGATGGTTCTGACATGCAGAGAGGTAAAGAATGTGCCAAATTGCTAAACGGCTGTCATGCTCTCATGGTAAAGACAGGAACCAAAGGTCAATACTCTTTTGTACACAGCCTATTCAAATTAATGAGTAGAGAAAACTCATTTTCCACAGCTACATGTTAATGTGTGGGACCCTCCTTCTTATGGCTGGAAAGTACAGAAGGTGGGCTCTAACCCCTAATGGTGTGACCCTCTCCTAGGGGCCTGCCCTGGCTTTGTTGCCCATACTGAGGACCCTGCTCTAGCATGCTCTACAGGCCACCTTCCTCAAACCCCACCAACCCGCCCTTCCTGAGGCCCTTCCTGTTACCAGAGTTCTAGTCACATGGGGTCACCTTGTGCACTCCCTCTCCAATCTGCCTCCTACTGGAAACTTCACTTCATCTGTCCCACTTCTTTGGGTTCCTTCCATGGAAATCACTCATTCCCATTAATTCTTCCAGTACTTTTCCTGGGCCTCCAGGATTGTCAGCTTTCTGAAAACTGATAACATGTCTCTGACTTGGCTAATTCCTTTTGCAGTTTTTTCAATTAGTAACCAATTAGTTAAATAAATTTGCTGACTCAGTCCTGGTCCTCTGATGTCTAGGTGTTTGTATACCTGCCATGTATTTCAGAATGCCTGGCTTACCTGGGACCAGCGGTAGAAAAGTTGTTCCAGTGACCTTGTGAGGCTAGCTGGGAATGGTCCCATATGAGGGGAAAAGTATTGGCCTCTTGGCTGGGCAGGCAAGGTACAGGGTCAATGGCTTCACCTTACATATCAACACTACAGGACAAGCAGGGAACAAGGGGAGGAGAAGGACACAGCCATTGGCCCAGAAGAACTTTTGGCAGAGTGTGTGGTTCTGAGTGGAAAAGTTTTCTTTCTTTGTGGATTCTCTGCATGCCAGAATTGGATCCACATGAATAAGAATGCAGGACTTGTTGTAAGGAGAGACCATCCTTGGGCAGGAAGTGCAACAAGAGAGCTGGACCACAGACATGGGAGTAACAAAGCTGGGTCCCCATCGGGTGTGGCAGTTGCTGTCTCTCTAGACAGTCTTAGGTGGGGGTGCATTCATTCACCTCAGACTCTCCTTGTCTGCTATCTGGATCTCTGTTCCTGTGCTTCTCCTCTGCTAGACAGTCCTCCCTTTACAATGGCTGCCTTCTAGAACCTTAGGCTTGGGTGACTTTTATTCTTTCTTGTCCCACTGCTACTACCACCTGTTCTGTCCATTTATAGTTTTGAAAAGAGTGGATGGGTTGGCAATGGGTGGGTGCTTCAGCCTTGGTGGAGGAGTGTGCTCTCCTACACTCATGGGAAGAAGGGAAGACCAGACGTGGTGCTGGAGTCTTACCCACATTGAAGACTTTGGATGAGGAGAGTTTCCAGGCCATGGAACCAATAATGGAACAACTCTGACGATGTGGCCGTTCCTCTGTTTAAGTCACTTCCCTCATGGAGAGCTGATGTGGATGCTAACCTACCCCTGAGCACTCTGTCAACACAATGTGCCAATGAAAGTGCTAGCAGGTATTGCATGAAAG